GTTTCCATCCTGCTGCCTGTACTCCTGTCAAGTTTGAATGCCCTAGGGCCAAATTGACTGTTGCGGCGCAAAACCCCACCCACTGTGCACGGATTTCGGTCCTGCCACTTACCAAAGGTGTTCCCATCCTGCCCCCCTTACTCTTACCAAATATGAACGCTCTAGGTCCACGGGGACATGAGTTATGAATTTGCGGCCCAAAGTTTCTCACGCGCACGCCGCGCTCCCTACAAACGGAGCCCGGTCCTGCCACTTACCATAGGTGTTCTCATGCTGTCCCGCTTACTCCTACCAATTTTGAACGCTCTAGTTCCACGGAGACAGGAGTTATGAATTTCCGGTCAAACACACACACCTACGCACACACAAACACACACACACAAACACCGACACACCAACAGACACACTTAGCGAACTATATAAAGTAGGAAGACAGTAGGACGTATCTCAGATGACTACATTAGGGGTCACGAAGTCTGACTCGAAGGCCCAGTTCACGGTAGTTTCAGGGTATCTAATCTAAGGCGAATATAGAATTTTTAGAACACCTTGGGCGCGATAGTCCTGAATTGTGCGAAAAAAAAGGCGAAGAAAGCGCAAAAACTGGCATCTCTGGCGAAATATAAGGCCGCAAAAAAGCAGAATCTGGAGTTGGACGACAATGTGACGGCCAAGTTGCACTTAATTTTTGGACTAGCTGTTCAAATGCATATAGGCTGATAGTGGTGTGGTTCCCGGTGCGAACAGAGCAACCAATACAGTTTTGCACGCTTAAGAACTCGTCCGCCTTGGGTGTGAACGTCTGCCAAACCTGTTTTAGGGCCCTTACTACGCCCTATTCTGGTGCTTCTTCAGTCCAGCGGACGTACCTCAGGCTCCTCTTGAAGTTCACAGATTCATCAAAAGGAGAAATCTCCGAAAACAATTTTTATCATGAACCGTGCCTCTAAAGAAATATCTACCAATGTGGTAGACTTACCATCTCAAACTGGTGGTAAATTATGGCCATAGTTGGTCTAGAGCTTTTTGATTTGAGATCGCCATTCAAGTTTGTGACTGACTCGCTTTTTGGGACTTGGAATCCTTGAAAAAATACTTCTGAAGGTCTTTTTTGCCTTATTAATCTCTGAGGAAGGCGATAAAGTCGAAACAGCAACCCGATAAATGATTATTGGTTGCAACTGAATCCCTAAAGTCTGTGCATTTTTTCTACATAAAAAGAACAAGATTACGGGTAAGTTTGAATATGTTGAGAGTCTTATTTCGAATCCTTCTCCAAAAAGGAATTGTTTTCAAGAATGTTTCAATTGAATTTTCCTTGATGGCTCTCTTACACTTTTGCTTACTTTTCTCTTTTTTAGTTATTTTATCTGCGTCTTGTTGAATTGTATTATAGACCGTTATTCCGTGACCGTAGGGATGACACTGCTCGTGGAACTTCGATGCATCGGCGTGACTCACCTACCAAATCAAAATCGTCTGATGACGATGATGAAGACATGCTAGAAATTAGGTACATGCGGTTTCCTATGTATTTAGAGCATTTTCTTATCATGGGCTGTCATGATCAGATAGCTTTCTACCAGATAAAATAACGTTGCCGGGTAACTCGATCAGCGTAGAGAGGAAATGTCGGTTAAGACCTGAATGCCACTAAACTTACTGGTGTTCCTCTCACTCTCTTAAATGAGCTTCACGCGCCGTAACAACGACTTAAAGCCGTGTTGTCACTTTCAATTTGCACGGGAGTAATCCAATGTTTGCAGATCGAGCATGTCCGAGTCGGAGAAGGAGCGAATCGAAATAGAGAACAGAAAACGTCGCATCAATCGAACGAAGAAAATGGTGCGGTGAGTAGTACTTTTCAAATTCTGACAACTGACACACCAATTTAGACAAATGTATACAAATCTAGTGCTAATAATAACTTTCCAGCTCACAAACTCCAAGCTATCATTTTTAGGGAGAACCGTTGTGGTATGAAAGACGGTCACGTTGATTCTGATGAAGAAGAGAAGGTAACTTTCATTTTCTTTTTTGCTTTCTGAAATGGTCATTCTTTTTCAGAAAGAAATTGCTCGTAAAATAAAGTTAAAGATGAAGAAAGCTTTGCGCCAAACTGTTGAGGAATTAAAGGAAGAAGAAGAGGAGAAGAGAAAGGAATTGGAAAAGGAAAGACGTGTAGGTGTTATCATCTGTTGTCGCATTACGGCTGCTCACCATTTTTCATGTGTGATAAACCCGTTGCCCAGAGCGCTTCCTCTTCTATTCTTTTGATTCTAGATACGCGACGAAATCTTATACGTCGAAGAAATGGAACGCAGAGAGAGGGAACGGGAACGTAGACGTGAACGTAGAAGGCTGGAAGCTGCATATGAAGAAGGAAAGGAAAAGCGTCGTCGACACAGTAGGAGTCGAAGTCGAGATAGAAGGAGGGATGACCGCTTTCCGAGGAAAAGTCGTGATTACAGATGAAATGTGTTGAATGTTTATGATGTTTGTCACTCCTCTTTCTTCTGCAGTACATAAATCTTTAATTGTTGCAATAGGAGAGCATAATTTAGGGTACAATTCATTTATACAATCACAAAGCCAAGTCATTCGAAAACAAACACTAGCAAGTGTACGTCAATGCTTGACCTCAGATTCGGGCAACATGGCGTTTGGGAAATGAAAGGTAATCTCGAGACAAATGGCTTTATGGTGCCGGCTAGTTCTCTATAAAGGCGTGAATAACAAAAATAGGTCCACAGAACAGTGAGTTAGCTCGTTGCCGACACGAGAGATGCGGGAATTTAGCACAGATGTAATGCTCCTGAACTGTTAATATCTCCTTTCTTACTGGTAAAACCACTTCAAATCCTAGTCCTAACTTAAAGCTTTTGTATGGTTGAGACTAGAAGCAATGAGATGCAACCAGATTGCGTTTAAAGCGCATTTCTTCAAAAGAAACGAGACAACAGAGAAAAAATATGAACAAGAAGGACAATCTCAACTGACAACTAAGGTCCCGATTCCAAACACGAGAACAGTCTAGGAACCGGATTCAAAATTAGATTCAGTACCCATTCTAGGAAGCGACCACACCATGGTGTTTCTTGTAGTAATTAATTCAGTAGAAGTACCAACATATGGATGAAGAAATGATGACATACTTTAAGAAAATCGCATACCACAATTTTTAGGGAGAATGTTTAGGTGAAAACCTCGTTCAAAGTGCTGCACAAACAAATTACGTTGTCACAGAACAAGGAAAAGTGTTAGAACAATGCAAGTTTATAAAAACAAAAAATGAACACGGACACATTCCTACCAATGCTCAACTGACACAAGAATGAAGAGTAGAACAAACATCACCCAGCTCTCAAATACCTACTGTAGTTGCAGTTGTAGGTGAGCAGCTAGACGATCCACTGGTGGCCACCACTGAGGGTGAGCCAACAGTGAGATTTGCGTCCCGGCGCACTGTGTTCGAAGAAAAGCCTGGCAACGTTGGAAAACGTATACCAATGTCTCGAGACATCTTCACGGGTACCTATAACCATGAAGATATTATAATTCCATAAGCCGTGGGGACAGAAACAAAAGTGAAAGTCAATGAGTCATGCGAACGAGGTTAAAACAAAGGAACCAGACCATGCATGAGCAAGTGAACAGGAGAGCTAACTGAATATCATACGCACAGGTAGGTCGAGCAGATCGTGGCTTGATATTCGGCGCGTGTCATTGTTGAGAAGGTGGAGCAAGCAGGCATGGCGAACTGTGGATGGCGGGCATAGGACTGGTTGAGGAGGCAGCTTTACGCGAGATCTTGCGCGAAGCCGCACGAGCTAGCAACGAGGAAAATGTGCTCTAAAAAAACAAATGAACACAATCACACACCAAGAGGCATACTTAGGATAAAAGCTCATTCCAATATTTGGTATGCTCAGCATAAGAGTCGATACAAAACAATGATGAAACCCATGGATAAGATGCCCTTGAAGGAATGAGAATTCCATTACAAAAACCATTACAAAATGCCAAAACCTGAGACCATCCAGAGAATAGGCAACTTATGCAAGGGAATAAAATGATACTGAATATTCAGTTCAGTGAATCGAATTTGAAGCATGCAGATCGTGCATCAAGAAACATGCGAAGTAAATATGTGCAGAAATTTGCCGCAGGAACTATTTACCTTCTTCTTCGATTGAATGAGGAGGTCCTTGTAGATGTCAGAACGGAGAAAACGCTGATAGCTGTCATTTTTCATTAAGCAGAATATATGATCCTAAAAGAAATTTTCTCTAATACGCTTCAGAGCGCCAGCATCCGTGAATGAAAAAAAAAACAAACCGCAGCTTCGTCGAAGCTCCACCGATTTGGGTTTTTCAGATTCTCCTCTGTTATTTCCATAACCTTGAAAAATTCAGATTCGTATATAGCACAAAATTTACTCATAACAAGGCCCAGATACGATACCATGTCGAAAGAAATCAATGAAAAACGTATGAAGCACCTTGCAATCCACATTCACCGGTGAAGTCGCGTTTGAATCAATGAACTCGTTGTAAATCTCGGTTACGAGAACAGGAACCATTCTACAGCTGCACTTCCGCAACTTTTGAACCTAAAAGGGAGAAGTTAGAAAAATGAAGACGTGTAAAAGACTAAACAGAACGCACCTCCCACCAAAAGCGGAGATTCTCGCCTGAATACTCCTTGTCAAGGAACTTTTGCAGTGTTTCCCGGCCAAGCAAATCAGCGAGTAGTTCCTCGAAACATTCTTCCCATAATTTCAAACGTCGAGTGGAAATATCACCGGTTCTGTAAAAAAAAAATTTGACAGCTCTTGCATAGTACTATTAAGAATAAAGAACTATTGTTAAACGAGAAGATGACCTACATCTTGTCATGCTGCCAAAAATCAACAGTATCGCTGATCCAGGGATTGGGCTGACTTTGGAAAGGATCAGATACAGATCCCAAAGGCGTAAGGAATGGATCAAATACTCTGCGTTGTTCGTGGTAGGCTAAGTAGCTGCAAAAATATTTTTTAGCAAACCTTCACATTTTGTAAAAGGCCCATAGCTCCACCCCTACAACGATGAAGACGAAGCCTAAAATATGCTTTTTCAATCTACAAGTTGGGTTACGCACGCTAACGCGGGCACCACATACCCACTACCGCTTACCTACGGCTTGTTAGAGTACCAATATAAATAGTATCAGTTGACTCCCCATTTCATAAATGTTCCCTCACCGCGCTCACGTGACATTCACACTCTTCATCGCGCCAACGTGACTTTTGGAAGGACGCACGAAACGACCCACAAACAGACACACAAACTTACAGCTTTATATGTATATTTATTTATTTCCATACGTCAAAATGACATGCCAACCCAAAACATGGGCGTATATAATTATCGAAAACCAGGCCGGTAAAGGAAGAGGAGCGAGGAATGAAAAGAAAACTGAAAAAAAAAACAAAAAAGAGAGATAATAGAGAATAATTGTGTTAAAGCTCCAAATAGTAGCAGGGCAGGGTAGCAACCGACGGCGCTAGTATCCAGGGATTATACCCGTCCAATAACTATCTGGACCGAACAGACCTCCATTTATCCGCGGTCGACAACTTCGTAACACATTCTACATTAAGCATATACCTAGAGCTTTTATAAGTGCTGACCCGGGAAACTGTCATAAGCCAATTACGTATTGATACACTACTACGATTCTGCATGGAAGTCGAATGCAACAGGTCTCCCCAATAGGAGTTGAACACTCTGAGAACTTTAATTTCTATCGATCAGGTCAATGTGTTAAATGATATTTTGCTGCAAATAAGGGAATGGTAAGCAAACATTTTGACACTACGATACGATTACGAAACTCATTAGTTCATGTTTTATTATAGCAGTGATGGCACGGTCGAGATCAGGTGCACTGAACATCGTTAACAAAGCCCGGAATAAAAATGTCGCAACGGGTCAATTGCGATTACCCGATGGATTTATCTACGGTTTAGCGTTGACTTTTAGAGTTCATTTCGTTAAATAAAAGTTTTAACTCACTTTTCTACAACTTTGGACGTCCGTAATACATTTTTCGATAATCGATTGTTGAGCTGATTAATCTAGAAAAAGAGAGTACAAATTCAAAAAAGGAGTGACTAAAATTGTGGGAAAATATTTCAGTAGGAAAGATCTACAACTCGGATTTCCTTGATTGGAACTTTGAAACGCACTTCTAATTTCAGAGTATCTTGAACTTGTGTACATCTCCTTAAGCCGGGTCGCGCATAGTAGTTGTTTCGAAATGAGCCCCCACCTCCACTTGACGAAGAGCTTGCACTGAAATGATAAAGGAAATTTTCAACAAAGCTCAACTACAACTTAGCCGAGACCTCCCTTCATTTGACAAAAAAAAAATTAAAATTGCGTGCATTTGATAGATGGTACAGAAAAATACAAGCTACGAAGCTTAATGTGATAATATCGTATATATCCAACAATCGTGAGTACTTAGAAAATCACGTAGGAAAAAGCAAAAAGAAAAAATAACGGCAATAAGAAATGAAAACGGCCTATTATTGTTGAGTCCTTACGGTTTTTGGTTCTCTTTCGTGCACTCATAAACGAGATAGAGGGGGCTCATGATTATTGCTGATAATCAGATCTCTTGAATAATACCACTCGAACTGACTATTAAGCTGATTGAAAAAAACTACTTTCTCAATCGATCGAGTAGGATGTCGAGGATCGTACATGCTACCGGGATGTAGCACCTCAGTAGGGTTTCCAGTAGCTAAAATCCTACTCGTTTGTATTCATCTATTCTAGCAATTGGAACCCTACTTCTAAACGCGTTTCAAGGTGCTGCTTGAAAGAAGAACTTAAGAGACATATCTACATACTGTACCTGTGGTACCTGCGACGTTCAAGAGTGGTTCAAAGATGACTTCTCACTTTTACCGCTGCATGGGCAGGTGGGATAATCTGACCCGAACGGTTTAAGATAAGAGTTGTCTACAACAAGACCAATGACCTAAAAGTTTGTCACCAAATTCGTTGGGAAGCGGACTATTTCAACCAGTCGAGTCACAGACTAAGGAATCGACGATACAAGAGAAAATTTCTGGATTCAAGAACATAAAAGAAAAACAAACAAATGATAGTGAGCAGTGAATCAAGTGGCGAGTGAACACGCAAGTCATGTGAAACACCACCTATGAGATGGGATAAATGAACAAGTTGAAAGGCGAAATAGTAGCAATTATTGAGGGGTGTCCTCGCTTTGTGGTACTGGAAAAGATCACTCTTCCGCTGTTTTTTTCTTCGAAGGTATCGCGGACAGAATAGCTTGATGGCCTTTGGAGTCCACGAGTCTACCAGCAACAATTTGTTGTTCAGTTCTAATCTACTACTGACGTCCACACCCAGTCTAGCATCATCTGCTTTTTCTTTACATATGTTCAATGTGCTCATTCCTTTAAACTCTCGAATGAAAAATCTTCACTTCGGAAACAGACCGCTCATCCCAGCAACTTTAGGTTGAGAAATGCAGAACGTTTCTAGAGCAGACTTAAGCAACATTAAGGGCAAATGACCAAATTCTTATCTATGATAAGGCAATATATTGCCGTGGAAGAGTATTGTATTGCAGAAACATTATTCTTCGTATTTCCCTCGAGTCATCTGAAGTTAGTAGTAAGCTGCGCATTTCTTTTCAAAATGCACTGTAAAGTCGAGTTATATAGACAAGTGAAGAAATGGTGAGAATGTTTCCGATAGGAAGAGAAGTCACCAAAAACGATAAAGTCAACATTAAATTTTCAACGGGTACATCAAAATTTTCAAGGAGAACGAATCGAAGACAGCAGATATTTCGCCAACTACGGAATTCCATCCATAAATACGCTCATGCCTGTAAGGCCTTGATGCTGCTTCAAACCGGTATTTCTACATCAAAGTCCTCATTCGATAATTCACCGCTCATTTGGGAACTCCCTCATAACTCCGTTAAGAGAACCATTTTGCAGTTACGAGAGCAGTTTCGGGATCAGTATTCAAGAACAAGTCTAAAAAAATGTCTCATGTCAAATGGTCACTGGTTAAGGTTCTTTCCTTTTTGGCATGGAATTTAACTTGTTTACCATTTTTGAACTTCGAGTAGATTGTACTGCAACACTAGTAGAGACCGATATAAAAGTATAATATGTATATAATAATTTGATTGTCTCTTCAGTAAGATGGTCAAATCATCCTTATTTTCGACCTGACGTAAAGGAGCATTCATTTCAGAACAAAGTAAATTATACCTGGTCTGAGACGCTTGCTGAGCTGCCGCTGGTGCTCCATTTGATGTGGAAGGTAAACTGGCATGCGCTGCTGCAGCACTGGTAGAATATGGACTACAACCGGACGAAGCAGCTGCATTCAAGGCCGCATGCCCGCCGGAGCTATACTTAGGTCGTCCAGAACGAGACAACTTACGGAAATCAACCTAAAAGGAAAACATTGACTTGTTGTGGTTCTGGCGCTTACTTCCTTTTAATACATGCAATCAATCATAAAATAAATGAGTAAATCTAAAATGTGTAATAATAAAAATAAAAACTGTACTAAGGTAAGCAACCTAAACATTTGAAATAATAGGTAAGTAACTAAACCGCAGGTTTTGAAGACTCGTACCTCCGTTGTGTTAACACATCCTGGCACTGGCCGGTGGACGTCCCAGAAAGCTCTTTCTTGGCTGTCTAAAATTTGCCGTTCCAAGCGATCTCGCTTCTTGTCGACTCTGAAGTAAAGGTTAAAAGTACATAACCAAACACCTGAATGAATTTCGAACATCTCACTTGTATTGAGCTTCAGCTTGCATGAACACAAATTCCCATTTTCTACTAAACATCTTTTGAAGCTTAGCTAGATTCTCAGCCTCGAAATCCTCCAACTCCAAATGCGCTTTATTTTGCATCGTCCGCTTACACAAATAGACCGCTGCAACAAAAACCTTCTCGAAAAAATTATTTCTCCGGAAAGTACAAGTTTTTATCACGATTTTAGTAAACCATACCGTAATCGGTATTTTCAGGCTCCCAGCAATTAGATGGCCAAAAGTAGGGAGTTTGAAACCGATAGAAAGTTCCATCGTTCTTCACAGTAAGAACATGGTCGTCTATTTGAAAAAGGTACCCATGCGATGCAATGAGGTGTGCAAGATGGAGAGCATCAGCTGAAACGGACGCAGTGAAACCCATTTCAACAGTTTCGACCAACTTTGAGTGATTGTTGATACAGTGACTTACAAAGGTCTGACATATCCAAACTCTTCATAATCCATGCTATGAGATCTTGACCCGTGAAAACGGATGGCACCTTGGAAAGGAAACTTTTGACGGTTTTGATCGGAACACCGGACTCTGCGTCAAGCATGTGATTAACAAGGGCTTCCATCTTTTGGTACACCATGTGGTTCGGATGAACCAACTTCTCCTCCAAGTTGGCATTCACCCTAAAATCGTTACTATCCGGCAATGAAATTAAATTTAATTTACATGTAAAAAAAACAGTACCCGTTTAATCAACAGACTCTATTACATTGGTAAAGGTAAAAAACAACTGCATGTTCCCCAATGGCGTATACGTGGATAACAAAAGGTTCGACTATTCTAATTTTTTATCACATTGGAACGATGACTCCACATTTGAAAAGAAAGGTGGAAAATGGACCCTTTTTTACAAGAGTGCAAATGATTTCGTATCAGGAAAAAATTCCACCGCTGAATACTATTTTGTTATTCTGATCCCTTTACCCAAAAATTCTAATAAGCAAAAGAAAAATGAAAACAGAAGTTTACCACCAGTTCTACAATTCTTTGTTCACCATGGGAATTGTAAGAAAAAGTATAGTAGATCTTCGCTACCTTCAGCACCTATGGTGTGCATGGGATAAAAGTATCGAGTTGTTGAAAGAAAAGAATCACAGTTTCTCGTAACAATCATGAGCGTCAGACAGGAGAACAAGGAAGTCATTTAAAACTTATACCGTAAACAAAATACCATATAGCATCCACAAAATGTCCCACCTCAACCTCGGTAGGGCCATTTCCGCTCAGTGCTATTCCCTCAACTGCTATTCCATGTCTAAGGTGTATCTAAAAGATCAGGTAAGTAGAAAGTTTGAAATAAAATCGAGTCAGATCCAATGTCGAGCATCACTAAAAACGTTTCGATTTCAAGAAGGAATGAAAGGTGTATGCAATAACATAAGATCAGCACCGGAGTTAACACAAATAAAACGCAAGTATTGTATCACTTATTTGCAAGGAAGACCATTACGCCATACAACTATAAGATACATAATGAAGCGAGCCTTTACATCATACTTTTTAGCAAAACCTTTTTCTGGATGTTTTTTTTTTTGAAAGTACGACCGACCCAAAGACTCAAGGCGAGTTCACTATGCGAGAGACAGCTATATCATGAATGTTTCCATCTGCAAATAAGTCATGTCTTCCATGATCCGGATGAAAAATTGAAAAAAAGGGATGTGAAAAATATACTGGTAGACGTTCTCGCATTTACATGAATGATGCAGCTCCCACATGAAGGGTGAAAAGTCCCACAAATAGTTCTGCACGAACTTGTCGAGTACAACCAGCTCAGCAGTACTCAGCGGCCGAATGAAAATGTCGAAAATCACGTCATCACAACTACACCAGCAAGCCAGTAACCGCACGAAATGCAACCACTGAAAGGAGAGAACAGAAACAAAGACCTAACAGCTACACGAAACTAGTCACTCCCAGCGGGGTTGTCCTGGGGAACCAAGTCTGACCAAGAGCTGGCGATGAAGCTGATCCAGGCTTCCTTGATGTGCAAAACTTCCCAAGGATAACGGCGTGAGACAGTACAATTGATATGGGAGCGCAGGGCATAGATAGAGGATTGTGTGCTGAATTGATTAAAGTGGAAGAGGGGGAGTGGCCGATCGATGTGCTGCCGGCAGCGGCGCGAGGGCCGCGAGTGCCGTTGGCAGCGCACGGTTGCGCGGCGGCAGACGTGTCGCTTGCTGGCGCGCTCCCGACGTAACTCGCGCCCCACAAGGGACTGGAGGGTGGTGGTGGTGGTTCTTGTGCTGACACTGACCTCAATTGCTCGAAGCTTGATCGCGACGAAGAGCTGCGACTCTGGCCTTGCGAAGCCCTTCGTCGCAACAGCCGCAGTGCGTCGCGACCACAAACTCCGATGTCGCCATCGACCCTAACGCCGCCACTGCCGAAGATCAACTTCCTGAACAGATGTCGATCAAGTTCTTCTCAGGGTTACAGGTACAGACTTCCACTTCTCTTGTTTGGTTTTGGGGAACTGGCCTCCTTCTATGCTTTATATGGATCTGAAGATACTCAGCGATGTACTCGGCACCGTTTCGAACTGAAATTAAAACTGTCTTAACGGGTGGTTGAGCCGTCAGAGCTTGGGGAATTCTTACATCAGAGGCGGTGTAAGAAGGTTCACAAGAAGCGCGTTTCAATGATGAAATCACCTTTGAATCCCGTTTGCACAGCTAAACTAGCAGCCATCTAAGTAATACTTCGGCGTTGAGCTTTGATGGTCAGTCATGGTCTACCATCAACCCCCTAATGTATGTAGCCGATGTACAGGCATTCAGGGATGGACTAAAGAGCATGCACTCATGCTTATTTGCTTTTTTTGATGCATTTATACCGTGACACCACTCGGCGTTGATGAACGTCGTGATTAATCCTTACTGAACGGAGGTTTTGTTGACAGCCATGCTGAGGAGTTTAGGTTTGCACAATTACACTCCTCAGTTTCCTTGAAGATATCAGGTTTTATGGTACCGAAAGATCCAAGTTTTAACTCACTGCCCATTTTTCAAAATATCATATCTTAAAAGCTTCACGTAAAGCCAGTCGAACAGCTAGGCTTATATTGGGTCTCCCTTTATTTGCTAAAATTTGGTGTGCTGGTTAACGCCTTCAGTCCGCGCTTGGTCAGAAAAAAAGCTTTATGAATAAGCGCTCAATTACACAGCCAATTGGCGCTGATCGGTATTGATTGGCCCTTCCACTTCATAGTTTTTCTATTTATTTGGATATTATTTGTTTGAGTGGAAGGGAGTCGTGATTTTGGCGGTGGGCAGACAATCACACATGCTTATGAACATAAGCAGTTTAGTGATCTAGTTGTGAAGACATTCAAAACCATTTGGATTGTTAATTAACTTGAAGGCTTGGAAAAAGGATTTCGGATCCATAATTGAGAGTGGAACACCGGCCTCCCAGCTAAACTTGAAAAACGAGATGACATCCCAAAAAAAGTTGGGCCATTTTTGTGCCTTCACGTCAACCCGAGCGAATCCACATGGTGTATGCCCAATTTATGTTAAAAGTCGGATCATACGTAGCGGTACACATCGGTTTTTGTGGGACTTTCTGCAATGCTCGCGTACTTCTGCTTTACTTACCCGAACTCATTGCTTCTAACTTTTCAATTTTTTTTNTTTTTTTTACCTGGTCAGAAAGCAATTCCTAATTCAACAGGAACTCGTTTTGGAAACAGTTTCTGTCAGATGTTTGTTGAGAAGTTCTCGAGAGTCTCCAGTTCCAGTCTCCAGCTTGACAATTAATGGAAACCAATCCCACCGTTCTTCATTTACATTTGCTTTTTACAGGATCTGCTTGGCTTATATGATGCGACGGTAGCTACCACTAGTCACACATCGTCCCATATTCCATCAAGTAACGGTCTATTCCCGTCTGCAAATACCGATCCAGGGTCTGCGGCTCAACGCCGTAAAAGTATTGGAGAGTGCAATCTTGCACTCACAATTTCAGGTAAATTTTGTAAACTAGAAAATCTCTTGGGATTAGGTATGATGTCGATCCTAGTCGAGCAGAGCACACAGGCTACCATCTCGGGACTACTCTTGAATACTACGTGGCTCAGAGGGTACTTGCCCTCTAATTCACATGGCCTCCATGATGATCCCATCGATCATGAAGGAATGTTTCCACGCATTTCTGACGTTGATTATTTTCTCTTTTGAACGGCCCGCCACAATGGTTGCTTTCAGAGTCCACCGGCCGGAAGCGGCGCTAGCCACTTGTTGACAACACTGACACGTGATCCATAGGCGTTCAGTGTTTTCAACAAGTGGCTGGCGCCGCCGCCGGCCGGCACGCGCGCTTTAGCAGGGGCAGCCGGCGGGCTCCGAAAGCAGCCAATCCTCTTATTTAAAGTGTTAGAAGATTTGAATACTGTTTTTCCTACATAATTCAAGTATCCGCAGGTTTATTATGTATACTAGTCTTACAGTCTGACACCGAATAATTGAGGTCTCGGTGAGGCGGTAGACTTGGTTAGCTTGGGCCGGTAGCTTACCGTCTTATCGAGATCGTTCATTTGGTGTCAAGCGGCAACTCACCGGTTATCGCATTATAGGTGTAGGGATGTTCCCACTTGGCAACACCTAACCTCCATCTCGTAAGATCTTGTGGTAAGCAATCAGATGTATTACAGCAAAGCAAAACAAACAAACTGGTGTGCCTTACATGCGTTTGACGGTAACCTGTCTCAGCTTTTTCAGCGCTGTTTTCAGCGACTTCTATGCTTTATTACTACACAGCATTTTGTTGTATTTTTCACTTCTCCCGATTGATTCCTTTCGTAAGGGCTTGTTGCAGATGGCGTCGAACAAATTAGGAAGTGTTCTCATGAACGAAAAGTTCACTTCGACGACGAACATCTCATTTCTGGCTATTTCGACGCCACTGCTCCGATTTTTTCTTCCATCAGTGAGAGCAGTGAAAAAACCAGTGGTACGTTTTATCGAAGATCTATCTTTAGAAATTCACAGTTGTTATTTCTTGATAAATCTTTCATCGTACGTTACATGGTTAAGGTAAGATTTCGTGCCCTCCTCAGCGTTAATCACGTGCTGTTGCAGTGCTTGCTGCTCTTATCATGCAGTATAACTTACTTCCTTCTGGAACATCTTCTATCTTGGTCTTAACTTGATGGAAACCCTCTTGAATTGCCTTTCTCCAACACCCCTTTGATTCTTCCCATTGCCGTTTCCCCAGGAAATCTCATGCCTTTCTTAGCGACTTTGACAGCACTTCTCCATATCACCACCGATACTGTAGGTGGAACGTGCCCAAAACCCGGGCATTGACAATTGATAGCTTTACCACTCTTCTTTTGAGAGTGCTTGAAGATTGTGCCGAGAATTCGAAAGCAAAACAGGCTCGGCCCGATATTTGCAAATAAATGTGATTTCTACATCGCCGCATGTCAAAAGGTACTTCGTCAGTGAATCCACCTCATAAAATAGCTTTTCAGGTGAAGTCGATGTAGATGGCATGCTGTTTAGTTATCGACGAACTTGTCAGAACCTTGGAATAGCGACTATCTCTTCAGTGGAGCGTCAAATAGAAGTTCGTTGTTCATTTTCCTTTCGACGCAAAATATGTAAGCTATATCTTTCTTTTTTGAACATTTTTATATCATCGCTAAACTTCACCGTGCATCATGAGAATTACGTAATGAAAGGTCAGTAGAATTTCGTTTCTTGATCACTCGGTGCCCTGGACTCAGAACTTGGAAGACTATGTGAAAAGCTGGAAAAAATCGAGGGAATAGCAAAGCTGTCGAACCGGGGTCTCGTCCAAGAGGAGCGGAACCCGTGGTGATGAGCGATTCTTCTCGACATCATGCTTGGCTCTGTCGCCGTCGACATAGTAGAAACTGCAGCTCACGATCCTTTTTGAAAAGAACTCCCGACGATGCTTGGCCGGGTCACTAACATGTTTATTTTCCCTTTACAGAGTGCGGTTGGGAGACACAGCGATAACTTTGTGGCCAATAATTTTTAATGTTGACGTTTCTTGTTGTTGTTGCTTATGCAATTTTGTTTCTAATTACACCACGATGAGGTCGCCGCACTTTTTTTCTGACTTATGCATCAACCAGTTCCTCCCTTCTACTTTATTCCTAAAGAAAAGCTTACTTGTTCAGCGGCTGCCTCGTGCTTGTTGTTCTCGACAGGAGGTGTTTTCGGTGAAGGGTGAACGGATATCTGCTGCACAGATGGAAGCACTAGAGGAAATTTTTCGACGTGTACAATTTGACGCTCTTGATTTCGAATACACCTTTCTGGATGATGACGTATGCTGTCATAGTGGTTTTTTTTTCTAGCTGTTGAAAGCATGGGTTTTAAAGTCATAACGCTTTTAGGCAGCCATTGCATTGAGCGAGATGCTCGAGTTTTACGAATCCGCTCATAAACTTAATCTTTCTTTCAATAAACAGATAACGGTTCGTGGATGGACGGATGTCTTCAAAGCCGTAAAAAATGTAAGTTGCTCGTGAATCCGAAACGTAGTTTTCAATTAGTGAACAAAGTACCACAATTGAGAGGAATTCAGAATTGGATTTTGCTCTGTTACTCCGTGCAAAAAGTTTTTACAGAGTACTTCGCTACATATGTTAAATCTTCGGTATACTTCGCTCTCGGAGAAGTCGTTGTCCGCTCTATGTCGTGTGCTTCGAGGAACACCTCAACCTGTGTTGGGTTGTCTTCACTTGGAGAACGTAAACCTGTACGGAAAAAATCTGTACAGTCTTGTCTGTGCTTTAAAGTACAATACTGTGCTCAAGGTTAGTTTTTTTACATTGATTATGCTCTTTGAAAATTGAATCATGTTCAAAGAGTCTTGGGTAAAAAACTGAGAAGATGTCAAACAGATGCTGACTGAAGCACTACCGCCAAAGATTCTCCTCTAAGAGAATAAAGCTCTCGTGAAAGGGTTTTCCAAAAGGCTGTAAAAATGGAAAAAGAGCAGTTTTGAAGGTTTAAAAGAGGCGGCTCTGCTCTCAACCACTCGAAGTCTTTTCGAAAAGCCTGCTAGAAAGAGCTAACATGGTTTACGAAAAAAATATGAAGCTTATTGGTAGACGAAGTGATGAAGAAAACGAGTTGTTCAGTCAATTCTGTTGGCTTTTGGAACTTGTTTTTAGTGCAATTTTTTCTTTGCAGGAACTCTACCTAGGTGAGAATACTCTTCAAAGTGGTGACGGCGCTCATCTTTATCAGTTGATCATGAATAACACTGCTATTCAGATGCTTGACTTGCGGAACAATAACTTAGGGGTGAGTGTGTCGTGTGTTTCCATGCCTCATCGTATTTTACTCTGTTTTGATCAGTAAATGTCACGTTGTATTGTGGTGCCATTTTAGGACGCTGGTATCGCTAAAATCTGCGAAGCATTACGTAATCCAGACGTAGTGAAGAAGACATCACTGACCGCTCTCGTCCTTTGGAATAACAAAATCACTGCAAATGGGATGGATGCCGTAGCAGCAGCATTGGTGATCAAGATTTATCTTATTTTCCAGGGTTTGCAGCTCTTAATAAAGGCAATGTTCTAGTGCGAGAATTCTCATCTGGAAACGCTCAACATTGGAAGCAATCCGCTCGGTGAGATGGGCGTTCAAAGATTAAGACCTGCTCTCGGAGGAAACGTCAGCAACTTGCACAGAATAGGTCTTCAAAGCACTCAGATGAACTGTCAGAGTAGGTTGATACTCCTTACTACCTGCTGGTTCTCATGCATCGAAGAGGATTTCTTTTGAGAAATAGTTCCGTCAGAATTGCGAATATAGTAGCACTGTGGCGGTTTGCACAAGTGACAAAGCAAGGTGGCCCTTATGGCTTATGTCCAGACATGGCCAGCGTCCCCTCCCTCTCCCTGCCCCCATTTTTTTTATGTTCCTTTTAGGTTTTCTTTCCGAAACGCTTTCTTTTGTCGAAGATCTCATTTTGGTGTAGCACTATTAGTACGCTGATCAATAAAATACCATCAACTGTTACTGCATCAACTCTTTCCAGGTGCGATTCTTCTGGCGGAATGTCTTGCAGATAATTCGACGTTAATTCGGGTGGACCTTCGGGATAATCCTGGAATAGGCGAGTTCTACGTTCTAGCCTCAAGACATAAAAACTCATGACTTTCTATTTTAGGGTCTGCCGGCCTACTGGCTCTTCACTCAGCAATGAAAATTAACCGGTCGATTTCACTGCTCAATTTGGATCAGAGCTGTATTCTTGCTTCGAATGCTAAAGTATGCTTAATGACTGGATCTGTTCTCCTTAAACGAATACTTGATTTGTTTATGACCTTCTAAGAGCTGCTCCCTTTTTTTCTTCAGCTAGCATTAGATGAAATTAAATTCCTCTTGATCATCGTTAGGGCCTGTAAAGTCGAAATTATCAGAGCAACCCAATATCCAGAAGATTCAAGAAGTAGTTTTTCCGAGCCTATCAGTTGCGAATGTCGCCAGCATTCTAGCCACCTATTTTCTCGTAAAACATTGTGTGCAAATGTGAGGGACGAGCGGAAAGCGCAGTTATACAGGTACGGCCATATCAGGAAGATTTTCGTCGCTACTACGAGGACATAAAGCATTATTGCGAACGGAATAAGGGCGCCGTTCAACAGAAAATAGAAAGCGGGACAGCTGATGCGAACATTCCGAGTAGAACGGGAAGTGAAGAACCTATGAAAGAAGTGGAGAAACAGCCTGATCAGGCTATACCAGGTAAGTTACTGTAAATACTATTTTCGATGGTGTTGACCACTGTCTTTTATGATGTCATGGTAGCTTATTTTTCCAAAGCGCAAAGGTTCAATAATAACGACTTCTGTCGCGTAGCGTGTGTCGCTTACTGCTAGGTTTCAGCCGATGGATTG